GAGCCAGTGAAACAGGTCACAAGCGAGAAGAAATCACTAGCATGCACTCTGGCGGCGCTTGTCGGAAGTGGCGCAACGTTGGTTGCCAAGCGCTGTGTCGATAACGTCAGGATATGCATGCGCGCCAGAAAACAGTTCCGACAAGCGCCGCCAGAGTGCATGCTAGTGATTTTTTCTCGCTTGTGACCTGTTTCACTGGCTCTATATAAGTACCTGCTCCTCTCTCGCAAAGACATTCACAGTTATCCCTCCACTGTAAGATATAAAGTGAGGGAATTTATCAGTCTTTCATCTTTGTTTTACCAGAGGTGACAAATTAAATTAATATGTTCTATTAATTTAAAAAAATATATATTTTTAAAAAATAAATTTTTGAAAAATATATTTTTTAAAAATAAATTTTAATTAATAATTAAAAAAAACCAATTTTTAAAACCTTGGTTTTTTGTTGGCTGCCAATAAAAAATCAAGCTTTTGAAAATCGATTTTGTTTCCTTGGCAATTCCTTGGCAACTAATATTGGCCCGATGCTTGGCTACCGATCATTGGCAGTAGCGTGATCATCCCAAGTTTAAACCATTGGTGGTCCAATGATGGTTGCCAATTGTTTTGCCAAGAAAAAACCATTGGGCACCAAGCATGGCCCATTATTGAACCAATCGTTAACATTGGCAACTTCCCGTTGGGTCTGTCTGTCTGTCTGTCTGTCCGTCTGTAGACGGTCATATGTTGTTCCCACGATAACTCTTGAAAAACTTATCAAATCGTTTTTAAATTTAACACACTTAAAGTTGGTGTAAAAATGAAGGCTAAGTTCGTTAACCAGACATTTTCGTTAAAAACTACAAAAACTACGGTAGTTTCAAAATTTTAAAAAATCAATTTTTTCAAATTTTAGAATTTTTAACTTTATTTTATTTTAGATTAGAAAAATACAAACAACTTTTCTCTATAACATTTTTTCATAAAAACTTAATTTTCGAAGTTATAGTCTCTTAAATGGTCAAAAAAACTAAAAAAATTCTAAAATAACACTAAAAATCGAATTTTTTTAAAGGAATAAAAATCAGTCAATTGATTTTGACATATTCCCACCCTAAAATACTTGAAAAACATACTTGAACATAAAAAACTCGTAATTTCCAGAAAAATCACTCTCTATATATATTTTTTGAGGCGCATGAACAGACCCTAAAACTCATTTGTTAGAAATCATACTTAATAGAAAATTATGTGAAAGAATATTCTTTTGGATGAATCGTTACTTTATTAAATATTTATTTTACAGAATGTACATTTTATCAATTTTTAATAAGACGTAATTCTAGAATAAAGAAATTTTTATTTGACACAGTGTATTTTTGGTGTCATTAACATTTGTGTTGATCATTAACTGGTTGAATATCATTATAAAAGATTATTTGCTAAAAAAGAATTCTATATGTGTAAAAATATTTCTAAAAAAATAATGTTTTACACGAAAATAAATTTATATTAAATAAAAATTTAAAGAATGAGTATTGCCTATAAAATATATATAACAAAAGGTTTATTTAGGTAAATTCTAATTTTATAGAGGTTATGTTCAAAAAAATTTTCAACTTTTTGAAATGTTATATTAATGAAATTTTATTTAACAGAATATTTATATAAAAGATTGTTTAAATGTGTTATTATAATTTATGTAAAAATTCTTTTTAAAAGAAAACTTGTTCAATCAAAATAATATATAATAGAATTTTAATTTTCATGCACAGTTATTTAATAGAATGTATATTTAGGTAAACATTAATAACTAAAAATTAATATTTTATTGAAATTTTAATTGCAAGATTTGTATCGTTTTTAAATGAATATTTAAATTTATTTTTATTTAATATATTTTCTATATGTGTAAATTTTATTTACATGGACATTAATTTTGCATTAATATTTATTTCATAAAATTTAAATGTGATACAATTTTAATTTGCATTAACAGGAAATTGGCAGAATGTTGAATACAGTTAACTTTAATTTCACATAATTTAAATATGATACAATTAATTTTTTTAATAAAAGGTCAACTTTGTGATTTTTTATTAAAAATAAATTTTAATTTAATGACGTTTTGTATATATGAATGTAAAGTATGTAAAAATATTATTTTTCAGAATGTTTCATTAATTAAAATTTAATGTAACAGCATTTTCATTTTCTGGATTATTTTTTAAATAAAATAGGTATTTGAGTAAATTGTTATTTGAGAAAATTTAGCTTTGACAAAATTTTGATATTGCAGAACTGTCATTTTAATGATTATCTGTAAAATAAAATTTTTATTAAATAAAATTTCTATATTTTTGGTAGTCATTTATGTAGAAAAATTTTTTTAACGAATATTTTTTAATCAAAATTAAGTATGAGAGAATTTTCAATTGATTAAAGATTTATTTAATTTAATGTAAATTTAAGTAATCTTTAATTTTTTAAAAGTTATACTTGACTTAATTTTTATTTAAAACAACCGTCATCTTGATGAATTTATTTTACACAGAACTCTATTTTAAAAGAATTTAAATTTAAGTGAATTTGATGTTTTCAGAAATTAATATTACACTAATGTTTACTTATTTGAAATTATATGTAACATATTCTATGTTTCATTGAATGTCTAATTAACAGATAATTTGTTGAAATTAATTTTAATTGTAATGAATTTTTATACTTTTGAATTGTTATTTTCCAGAAACGCCATGTTGTCAAATTTCCATCACATCGTATTTCTATTTGTGAGAATTTCTAAATGTGGACATTTTATTTAAATAGAAATTCTTTTTGAATTAATTTTTTTAAATTAAAATTCGATGTGACAGTATTATGATTTTTGGAAATATTTATTTAACAGAATGTTTATTTAAGTAAATATTATTGTGGAATAATTAATAGAAGATTTAATTTTTATTTATGGAAAATGTAATCTTGAAGTATTTTAGCTACACAATATTGCAAATTAAAAGAATTTTTATGCATATAAATGGAAATTGAAATAAAAATTAATTCCATAGAATATTTATTTAGATGAATTTTAATGCGAAAGCAATTTAAATCCCGTAATTTTAATTTTTTCAGAATTTTTATTTAAAATAATTTAAATTTTATAGAATTTATAGTTTATAAAATTTTAATTTACTAGAACTATTATCTTAATTAAAATTTTTTAAAGAGTATATTTATTTGAACTATTTTTTATGTATGTGAATTTTAATTTAAAAAAATATATCTTGTTAGAATATTTCATTAATCGAAATTGAATGAGATAAAATTTTCATATTCTAAAATATTTTTTAAAACAAAATAATATTTAAATAAACTATAATTTGAAAGAATTTAGTTTTGTTCAAATTCTTATTTTTCATACCTGCAATTTATATAAAAAATTTTTTTAAGAAATATCTATTTAGTAGAAATAGGATATCGTACAATTTTCACTGCATGGAATTCTTATTTGACAGAATGTCTATCTAAATTCTCTTTAATTTTGCAGAATTTAGTTTTAATTTAATTCCAGTTTACAAGATAAATCATCTTTTTGAATTTCTAATATATAAAACTTCCATTTATAGAAATGGACATTTGTCAGAAACTTTATTTTGCAGAACATTTACCTTTAAGAAGAAAATGTGTTGGAAACTTTGTGTTAAAAGCTTCCCAACAGTGATATACCGACTGCTGTCGGTAGTGTAGATATAGGAGGCGCTATTGGTTCATTCTTTCAAAAAAGAATATTTAGTGGGAAATTTCAAAAGTGTTAAAAATCTGTTTAAATTGAGGTAAGTGAATAAAGACTTTAATTATAATTAATACTTTTTATAAATTATAAAAATCAATTAATTAATTTTTTAAATAATTCTTATTATTATAAGGTACTTTTTTTCTTTTATTCTTTCTATTTAATATAGAAGATATTAAATATAAACATGCAAGACATTTAAAAAAAAAAAATTCATATAATTTTTTCCATTAAGTGGTATTTGGGAAATATTGACCCCAAAAAGTGTTTTCCCGCGTTTTGTCTCATTCCTAAATAATTAGAAATATCTAGTTCCAATCTATCAGGATAATTAGAGGGATTCTTGCTGACAAAGAATATTCTCGATAATTTGCAAGTAATCTTTGAAATAAGTATTGAAAAAAAAGTTTAAAGTTTTGGCGAAAATGAGAGACAATGGTTTTCGGCGAGCACACAGATAAGTGGATCTATGAACAAATTCGGTTATTTGCTCTCAGAGTGCTCTTGCTTTGTGTTAAATCCTATATGCTCAGTACTGAGTGCTATAGCACCCAGTGGGCAAGGAGGTGGCGCTAATTCTCGATATTGGCAGCGACTTGAACTACAGAAATGTCTCAACTTCAAATTACTCCAATTTTAATCTTTAATAAAATAATTTCCTCGCAAAATTGTTGTAAAAGAGCGAAGAGCATCAGGCCTCAGAAAGCCTTCTTCTATCACCCCTCTAAATATGAACCCAAAATATTTTATCCTTTTAAATGAGACACCGCGATACCCATCCTTGCAAAACCCCGTTTTTCCCTATGTATAAACAATTTTTTTCAATAATTATTTATCAAAATTTTACAAAATTCCGAAAGCAAAGAAGAAAACCAAAGCGTTTTTCTATATATTCTCTATATTATTTCTAAAAATCCACGCTTTGATACTTAAAAATTTTCTAAAAATTTCTAATTAAAAACTTTTGTATTTAATCTATTTAAGAATATTTTAAACTCAATTCTTTTAAAATTCAATTACTTATTAAATAATTAACTAAAATTATTCATTAAATTATTTATAAATAATAATATATATGATGTTACAAAATTGAAAGTTTTGTTTTATAATTCGTGGTAATTTTGTAGTTTGTGAGGTCAACAAAAAAAGAATTTAAAATTGAGAATTTTCTTATAAATTATAAAAATTTACTTTTTTCAATGTTTTTAAAAGAAATCCCTGTATTTTTCTTAAATTTCACGACTTTCATGACCTGTTGCAACACTGAATAATGAATTTTGTACAACTTTTTTTTTTAAACGATGACAGACTTTTTTATTACATTACATTATGCCATAGATATAAACTTTTTGTTTTCGCGTGTTTTTAAAACATACATTTTTAAATGAGTAAGTTTATGGGGCATTTCATTTCAAAACGAACCACCTTATAAACAATTGCCATTGTAAAGCAATTTTTAAAAAATTATTTCTCCCATTCATTAAAGCGATACTTTATTTATACTACTAGTGATTTTAAAATAAAAATTTCTTAATTTTATGATGTTAAATTTTTTTTTTTTAAATAATAGAATTTATGAAAAAAATTAAGTTTGAAAGATAACTTTTTGAATATCTCAAAACATGTCGCGTTCGATTTTCTTTAAATTTATGTCAAAATGTGGTTTAAAAATTCTAGTTTTATTCTATGTAAACATTACAATGGTCAATTTGCGGAAATTTGAGAAATTAATTAAATTTTACAAGAATTTCGAAGGTTTTAATGCATGCACCGAGAGGAATTTGTTTTTTTTCAAATTTTTACGCAGTTTAACCTCTGACAGTTTCGTAAAATTTAATTGATTCTTGATTTCAACCGAACTGCTCATTGTAATGTTTACATAGAATAAAACTAGATTTTTTAAGATACATTTTGACTTAAATTTGAAGAAAATCGGACACGACATGTTTTTAAGGTATTTAAAAGGTTAACAATCAAATTTAATTTTTTTCATAAATTCTATTATTTTTAAAAAAAAAAATTTTACCATCATAAAATTGAGAAATTTTTATTTTAAAATCACTAGTAGTAAATAAAGTTCGGCTTAAATAAATGGTTGGAATAATTTTTTAAAAATTGCTTTACAATGGCAATTGTTTATAAGGTGGTTCGTTTTGAAATGGAATGTCCCTCATACATTTTAGGTAATTTTAAAGATAATTTTAAACATGATTGTAACATTTTGCATCGTACAATACCTTAAACATTAATAATTTCTGATTAAACATTTCTTTTCTCTTATAGAATCTTAATAATAAAGAAAAATTTTAAAGTTTAGTTAAATTTCAAATATCGGAATGAAGGATAATTAAAATTTTACTGTGCTTTAAATGGGATATTTAATGTGTTTTGTTAGTTTAAATTTTGAAGACTTTTTGAAGTGAATTGTAACTTTCCGAGCAGACTAGGCAGTTGTTATTATCGTTTAGAATTTCTAACAAGTGACAATTGTTGCATAACGCCATGTGACCACAGGGTACAAAACAAACGGTTGGTGGGTTTTGACGACACACACAGCATTCGAGCGATTCAATGATGATCTGCGTTGACTGGTATTCTCTTCTGCACACGGGACAGTTGTTCCGCCCATTATTTTCATCCTCTTCAGCAATGTTTAAGGCATTGTAAGCTGCACAGCATTCTTGACAAGCAGCCAAATGCCCGCAAGGTATAAAACAGTGGTTGGGCAGTGTTACGCGGCAGATGCAGCAAATGAATTGATCTAAATTTTTTTAGAAGGAAGATTTTGTTAAATTACATATTTTTTATTATATTTTTTAATAATATATTATAAAATCACATGTTTTAGAACTAGAACACCATAAACTATATATGAAATTTCTTATGTGAAAAGAGGAGATTTTTAAGTAAGTTTAGAATAAAAATTTGTTTCTTTAAAGCATTCATCTCATTTTTATACTTACAAAAAATCGATTTTGATAAAAATTATTTTTCGAATTTTGGATAAATGTTTCTTTATGCAAACCTTTTGTTTGTTAAAAATTTTAGAACATTTATCGTACTGAAAATTATTTTTTTGGATTCAAATTTTTAATTTTTATTGAAATCACATAAGTATAGTTCATAAGTTTTAATCCGAATATCAATTTTGCCAAAAGTTTTATTAAAATTTTTAAAAATAATTAAATTCCAGAAAGAATTTAATTATTTATAAAGACAATTAAAATTTTTAACAGAATTTTTCTTTAATTTTCATCTCTCTTCTCATCTTTTTGTAATTTTTGAAACAAATTACTGACTTTATATGATTTGCGTACTTAGTTCGAGTCTCGATATTTATATTTAAATAATTATATAAATATTAATTATATTTTTTAGAATATTTGTAAATGAAAATCTTACCGTTTCCATTCTCGAGCGGGTCGACTTGTTCAGGATTTGGTATTTCAGCATCACCTGTGTAAATGCAAAAAAAGTTTAGATTTCAACATTATATTTATTTTAAAAAATAAGGTTTGACAATTAGTTGAAATAAGAAATAGAGATAATGAAAGATAATAAAAGAGACAGCATACTCTAAAGAAAAATAAAAATTTTCTGTGCATTTTCTTAAAGAATGGAAAGAAATATCTTTATTTATAGATAATTTTATAGTTCACCGACATGCAAAACTCCAATTTGTTTATTTTAAGCTGTAGAGATGAGATGATAAATTAAAAAACAAGAATGAAATTTTTGACGTATCACGAACAATCAATTTCAATTTCTCACCCTTTGCTTTTTTTTCTCGATGGCACAAATGTCATTCCCATCAGCTATATACGTATATATGTGAAAAGAATAATTTAATTAATGTTAAAGCCTCACATACTTGAGTCAGTATACTTACATCTGTTAAAGTTGATTAAAAATGTTAATTAGTTTTACGGAATTTTTAATTAAAAGGTATTAAAAATTCAGATTTTCAAAGATTTTAAATTAAAACCTTTTCTGAATTAAATTATTTCTAAAAATTAACGTAATAAAGCTTTTAATATTCCATTATAGTCTAAAATTTCGACTGAAATTCATTTTTAAATACATTTATACTCAATAGACAATTTTACGAGAATTAAATTATTCAAATACAAAAGTAAATTATTTTTTTGAATATTTTAATGTTTCTTAAAATTTGATTTTCATAAAAAAATAAATTTTAGTTTATTAGCAAATTAATAAATAAAATTATTAATAATAATATTTTAAATATAATTACATTATTACAGTAATTTTGATCGAAATTGCATTCAAAGTAATTAAAATTTTGCAAAGAAATGTTTTAATTATTATAAAAGTATTTGAATTGCTAAAAAGAGATTTATTAAATTTTGTTTTAAATAATTAAATTCTTTAAATTTTTTTTATTAAAATAATAAGTGTTGAAAATCATTAAACTGAGGAACATTTTCGAAAAACAAGTGAATTTCAGTAGAGAATTTAATCTTCTATATTAATAATCGTTGTGATCCAATAATCAATCATTAATTTAATATTTTGAATTCTTGCGAAGAATTTTATTATTTATGAAAATAATGAAATTCTCGCGAATAATTCAATTTTTTTTTAAAACTATAGTTAGATTATTTTTAAGAATTTCTTTCAATTTTTTTAAATGATTCAGTTTCTTTAGTGTTTTGAGACAGTATCATTTATACACATTAAATTGAATAACAAGTGCTTGTCTTACAGGCGTAAGAAAATGTTTTTCTTTCTCTACAATAAAATATCTTGGTGTCTTTGAAACAAATATTATAAATATTTAATGGTCTATATTACAGACAGAAAAAATATTTCCTATGGGTCTATATTACAGACAAAAAAATTTTTTGTTGTGGGTCGATTTTACAGACAAAAAATTTTTTGTTGTGGGTCGATATTACAGACAAACAAAATTTTTCTTCTTGGGTCTATATTACAGACTTAGAAAATTTTTAATATGGGCATATTTTACAGACAAAAAAATAATTCTTATTTATTGATTTACATTACGAACAAACAAGTATGTAAGGCTGAAGACAGTTGTATAAACAAATAAAATAAAATATTAATTGTTATTTTTAATGAAAAATTCTAAAAAGAATGCATTTTAATATGTTTTATTTAACTTTGAAAACCTCTAGTTTAGATGAGAGCACAAAAAGTTGAATTAGTGAGTTGAGAGTGCTTTCAGAAAGATAAATATAATTATGTATTTTGTGAACAAATATTTAATGTTTAGTTATTTATAAATAAAGCAATAACATTATTTTTTATAAATTTAAAGAAAATGTTATGTTTTTAACGTTTTTATTATTTAATTTTAAACGCAGAATTAAACACATGATTTTTCGCGCTTGCGTTTATTTCTACGCCATGTCACACAACCTAAAATATAGTTGTGTTTGTTTATAATGTTTGTAGTGAATAAAATGAAAATAGTTTTTAGCTAATATATACAGTGTTACTAGATGTACCGCATTTTTGAAACTTTATCCGCAATCCGCATTAACCTCATGCGGATGACGAAAAAACCGCATTTTCTTCTTTGATACCAATTTAGAACGATACAAGTTTAAAGGTACGGTCATATTTTTGCTTTGTGAGCACTATGCATGCAAGACAGACGTGTGACCATGGCATTAAGCAGCAGTTTCTATTTGAAACTGACATATTTCATTTATTTAGTTTTACAGAATCTTGATTTATAAATCGGTCATTTTCATATTATTCGAGTCTTTCAATCAGTATTTTAGTTTTAAAAGATTTTATATTGTAACGTTGTCGTATACCATAGTTATAAATCGTTTAACTGTGTTAATGTGAAATTTTGAACCAAATAAGAAATTTTTCAAATATCTAGGCTAAATTTTAAATGTTAATAATGCCTTATATATTAATATAATAATTAATAAAATGTAATAAATAATTTATTGTTATATATTTCTATTTATAAACAACTACATATTTATGCATTAAAACAAATAAGAAATTTTTATAAAATGAATAAAAAATGTCATCAAAAACATATTTTCTTTATGAATTAGAATTAAAAAACTCAAATACGCGTATTTTCGTTTTTGGAACATTAATTTATAGAGAGAACAAATTTTTAATGACTTTTTTTATAAATCCTCATTTTGAAAAAGAAAATCCGCATTTCTGCACTTGTGCGTCCGCATTCACAGTGGTGGAATAAATATAAAATAAATATTTTGTTTTCATATTATGAATAAAGTTTTATATAATAATAAAATAACTAAATATATTATTTTGTTCTTTTGAAATAAATTAAAAGTTAAAATCTAGGTTATTCAATAATAATTTCAATTATAGTGATAATACTTAGCATTTGGAACTTTCTTAATAATTAACGCGTATTAATAGACACAGCGTAGTAATTTACGTGTAGTACTTTAAGCAAATTCGTAGTAATTTACACTTCTGCACTTTTTTTTAAATATTCCTTTTTTAATACAAATTAAATTATTTTTATGACCCAAAGACTTTTTTTAGTTCTAAGAAAGATTAACTACTCAGTACAAAAACAATTTAGAAAAAAAATTAAGATTGAAAGCTTCAAATGATTCTTTAAACGTGGCTGATTTTGAAACACGTAGTAATACGCACAATCACCCTATATCGATTAACGAGTTATCGAAGCGCGAAACTATAACATTTCGTTAATAAACTAATCCCAACAAAAACATCTTTGATGCAAAAATTTCCGCCAAGTAAAAATTTTGGAAATGTCGAAATAATTAGTGAAATTAAAATTTACCAAGTAAAATTTGTAACAAATGTATTCAATTGTATTCAATTGTAACAAATGTAGAATTTAATTTAATTATTAACATAATCAGCTAATGAAATCCAATTGTTCGTCTTAATAAAAAATTTCTATTTGAATCAATTTTAAGATCTTGGCGTCAATGCTTTCATTAATTATAAGTTAGAAACATTATTGACGCCAAGATCTTAAAATTGTTTCAAATAGAAATTTTTTATTAAGACGAACAATTGGATTTCTTTAGCTGATTATGTTAATAATTAAATTAAATTCTACATTTGTTACAATTGAATAAAATTGAATACATTCGTTACAAATTTTACTTGGTAAATTTTTATTTCACTAATTATTTCGACATTTCCAAAATTTTTACTTGGCGGAAATTTTTGCATCAAAGATGTTTTTGTTGGGATTGAAATACTTTTTGCATCATAATTAAATTCTAGGGTCTTTTATAAAACTGTTTAGTAGTTCAGGCTCTACATTTATCTAGATGTCAAATCCAATTTTTTAGAGAAAAATATAAATATTTCAATATTTGGATTTTTCTAAAAAAATAAAATTTTTTGATATTTAGACAAACGCAAAGATTAAACTTCTAAACGGATATGTAAATTATTCTAGATTATTGTTAATTGTGTTAAAATTTCGATATATATCGCAAGAAATTTAAATACACTTCGTATTTATTAAAATATTTTGATTTTTCTATAAAAAATTGAATTTTTCGACATTTAGACAAACGTAGAGATTAAATTACTTAACAGATTTGTAAAATATTCTAGAATATTATTGAGTGGAGTATAATCTTGATATATATTGCAGGAAATTTGAATACATTAAAAAGTTTAGTCTCTACGTTTGTCTAAATATCAAAAAATTTTATTTTTTTTAGAAAAATCAAAATTTTTAAAAAAATACGAAGTGTATTAAAATTTCCTGAAATATATATCGAGATTTTACCCCAATCAATGATATTATAGAATATTTTGCACTTCCGTTTAGAAGTTTGCTCTCTGCGTTTGTCTAAATGTCAAAATATTCCATTTTTTTGAGAAAAATCCAAATTTTTCAAAAAATACGAAGTATATTAAAATTTCATGAAATGTATATCGAGATTTTAACCTAATTAAGAATATTCTAAAATATTTTAGAAATCCATTTAGGAGTTTACGCTCCACGTTTGTCTAAATCTCAAAAAATCGCTATTTTTTCGGTTTTCCTAGCTTAAATTCTATAAAAGTATTAAAAATATTCAAATAAACTTGACAGAATTCTTTCTTTTTTGATTCTTTATCCAACAAAAAAAGAATGAAGCAAATCGGTTAAGATTTACTCAAGTTATTCAATTTTATCGAAAAATAGCCGATATTTCGAGAATATATATTCGCGGTTTTTGTTTTTTACTTGGCGGCGATTCTCTACCGCGAATCTTGATCGCGGTTTTTGTTTTTTACTTGGCGGCGATTCTCTACCGCGAATCTTGATTATTTTTAGAATTTTCTTACGATTTTTGACAAATATTGACGAGATTAAACAAGAAAGTTTAACTATTGTAAAATATAATACTTTACGGTTTAATAGTTTCCAAATTTTGAATATGTCTTTGAAATTAAGCATATGAATCTGTAAGTGAAATTGTTCCATTACA